ATTTTATAATAAATAGATAATGATAATAATTTTATCGTTAAGTTTTCAAATATTAATGATGTGGATGTAATGTGTGTGTATATACATACATACATATATATATATATATACATACATATACATATGTATGTATATATATATATATATGTATGTATGTATATACACACATTACATCCACATCATTAATATTTGAAAACTTAACGATAAAATTATTATCATTATCTATATATATATATATATGTATATATATATATGTATGTATATATATATATGTATGTATATATACATTTATGTATGTATATATATATATATATGTATGTATATATACATATATATATATATACATATATATATATACATACATATATATATATATGTATATATGTATATATGTATATATATATTATGTTTTAGTACCTAAATAATCAGTTTTAGTCTGTTTTAGTACTTATACTTTTAATTTTTTTAAATCATATCTAAGGTTTAGTTTTTATTTCATTTTAGTACACCGCCTTTAAAAACTTTATTTTTTATTTCATTTTAATACCTCATTCAAAATTTAATTTTAGGTTTTGAAAAAATTAAAAGTTTATGTATTAAAACGGATCAAAATTGATACTTTATGTATTAAATATGTTAAGTTTTTAACGAAAAATACTAAAATAAAATGAAAACTAAACGTTAAGTATAATTTTAAAAAATTAAAATTTAAATATTAAAACATATAATAGAAATGATAGTTTAGGTAATAATCGTTATATCGAATGCGCCTACTTCTTTTCCTCTAATGGAGCCAAAAAAAAACACACACACACCGAAACTCGTAAGAGGCCGCCTCTACCTCTTTTCTTCTCACCTTTTTCCAATCCCTAATTTATCAAATTTAATCATTTCGTATTAGAAAAAATTGGATTTGGATTAAAGGATCTTAGCCTCCAAATCAATCCTTGAAGTTGTGGTCGAAGTTGCTGGTAATAACCTTACTCCAAAAATCTCTAAATTTTATTTTCTTTTTTTTTTTTAGTTTCAAAGTGTTCGATTGTACCCTCGATTTCTTTCCTGATCTTCTTGGATCGCTTAAGAGCTTCTGATTCGACGACGTTGACCCCTTTTTTAATCTAGGGATAGTGTGCTTAATGCTTGATTATTTCGTATTTGGGGTGTATTAATTTGTTAAACTTTACAACTTCAAGAAATTTTATTTGTTAGTTTATTACCGCCTCCAATTTTGTTGTAATTTCTTGTGTGTTTGCCTTGAATTTAATATAAGTTGGTAGAACTGAATAGCTAATTCTACGAAATGTGAAGTTAAGAATTTCAATTTTCAGTGCTTGTTGTTAGGGATGCTTGGGATATTAGAATTGATTTTCTGTATTGAAAATTGATAATCTCTACATCTTGCATTAAACTTTTTAGGTATGTGGGAAGATATTATGCAGGGTACTTTTGGCATTTAAGGTCTGTGTAGACACTGGCTTTTCTTTTCTTTTTAATGGATGCTTTATTTTGTTTGAGTTGTCTGTAAGAAGTATGTTTTTATGCAAAGAGAAGAAGCTATGTGAGGTAGGAGTCTGAGACAATAGTGTGATGCAAAGAAGCAAGAAGATGGGAAACAGACTGTAAGATTTTGAATTGAGCTTTAGAGTTGCTATGGAAAATAGAATCCTGTTAAGCCTATAGACAGTGTTTATTTGTAACATTTATCTGCTATTGCTAGAGCTTATATGGTGTTGTGCAAATTTGGTTTTAAATATACAATATATTTCCTTTTCCCCTTGAAATTCTATGATACATTTGTGAAGTTCTATTTTTCATTTTGAATACATTGTATTTATAATATTCCAGGATTCTGTTTTTTGTTTTATTTTGTTCTAAGCCTCAGCTCCTTTACTTTTTTGCTGAATCGTATGTATGTAAAACTAATTTTATGTCATTTTTTTTTACTTTCAATTGTTCAGTTTCCGCCTTCTCAAGTCTAGTCGTTTAGCATTTTAGTCTTTGTACATCAAAGGTATTAACATGCCGAAGGAAAGAAGAGATCGCTCCATATCCTTTGATAGGTGTAGGAGATCTCCCTTCTCATGTAGCTCCAGCTATAGTCACCAATCTTCATCTAAAGTCCCTTCAGAAACTGAGGAAAATATAAAGGAATGGGAAGATGCCAGGTGCCCTATCTGTATGGAACATCCTCACAATGCGGTTCTCCTCATATGTTCTTCCCATGAGAAGGGTTGTCGTCCATACATGTGTGATACAAGTTATCGCCACTCAAACTGTTTTGATCAGTTTTGCAAGTCAGTTATGGACACCTTAGCAACAACAGCAGAAGATCCTCAACAAGAAGAAGCTCAACTTGTAACCACTAATTTATCACCAACCATTACTGCAAATTCAGTATCAACTACCACTGATTTGCAGGAAGAAAGAACTGAGGAAGGGAACTCGACCCCATTCAATGCCTCGTCTGAGAACCGGGTGCTTTCAAAATTAGCATGTCCTCTGTGTCGTGGCGAGGTAAAAGATTGGGTTGTTGTAGAGCCTGCTCATTGTTTCATGAATGCCAAATCTAGAAGCTGTTCGTCTGAATCATGTAATTTTACTGGTGCTTATAAAGACCTAAGGAAGCATGCAAAACTTGAACACCCTTCTGTGCGCCCTTCAGAGGCTGACCCTGAGCGACAGCGAAATTGGAGAAGGTTGGAGCGTCAGAGAGACCTCAGGGACTTGCTCAGCACGCTGCTGTCTTCATTTGGGGATGAGAGGACTGATGACAATGTTATGCCAATTGATGATGGAAGTTGGCTCACTGTCTTTTTCCTAATTCGAGTGTTTCGACCAGGTTCTAATCATAGGAGCAGCAGCTTGTCTCGGGCATCAAGGGCGAGAGCTCAATCAAGTACTAGGAGAAGATCTACCAGACTCTGGGGCGAAAGCTATGATGGAGAAAGTGGATATACCAGAGATGGGGACAATGCGTCTTCAGATGGTGGATTGTTTTCCTAGAGGCGCCGTGTAAGGAGACGGACGACTCCTGATGATCAACAATGACACTGATAGTGTGATTGTATATTTAATATAATCAGTTGATTGTTTGCATGTGAAAGTCTCAATTTGTAAGTGTCACCCTCATTAATCTACACCTTGTATGGCTGATGAGTGTATCTGAACTGACTGATTTTTTGTGTTTCAGGTAGGAGTGGAAGAGAAATGCAAGTCCATTGCCCGAGTGTCTGTATCTGTTCCGCGCGGCATGGAACATATTTGGTCTAAGTTGCTGGATAGGATCAAATGAGTGATTGTATCTTGGAACTTAACTCATTCAGTAAGCATACCCATTATTTCTTTCTTGCACTCTATGACTGCAATAATATCAACTTTTTTTCCTTTCAACTGTTGAGATATAAAGGGTTATTGTTCATACTTAAAGTATGATGATGTTCAGATCAATATTCTTGGTTGCCATTTCCTTAAAAATATTCTTCAACAAGTGGAAAGAAAATATTATGTCAAGTGAATTCACCCAAGGAAATGCAAATTCGAACCCTTTTGTAGACTCAAATATTATATACATTTGGTTATTATCTGAATTTATTGTGTTAATTTCATTATCCGTCCTCAGAATTTGACCTTAATTCTAAATCGGTCTATAATCTTTAAATAATAATTCGTTTTAAATCAGTTCTCAAAATTTTGAACGTTCCTATGTCATTCCCAACTATGTCTTTTGTTGATAAATTGTTAAACAACATTGATGTCTATTATATATATCTAATATGGTGTAAACAATAATTAATGTTGTATCACATTTTTATAATTATTATTTGGAATAAAAACTAAAAAAATGATTTCATTTTTATTCTATTCATTATATATAATTTTTTATGTTTAAAATTTTATTTATGTTAGATTATACTATTACAAAATATATATATTGCAAAACATTAGTATGGGACGTGTGACTAAAATACATATAATACAAAAATGTTTAGAAGTTTGAGATTAGTTACAATGAAAGTTATATTTTAAAGGGTAAAGTTTACAAATAGTCCTTAACTATAGGGTATTGTTTCTCAAGTACTAAGAATTACAAAATGATCTTCTGATTATAGAATGTTGCTTTGTTAAGTTTCTCGCTATTAAAAATTACAAAATAATCACTTAATTGTTCATTGTGTTGCAAACTCATCATTTTTCCTTAAAAAATTGACAGTTGTCTAAGCTAAACGTTAACATTATGATTGTGATATGATAGTCATTTGAAATTCTGAGAGCAAATTTTATCATATCACAATCATTAGGTTAACATTCAACTCATAATTCCGTCAATTTTTCAACAGAAAATGACGAGTTTGAAACATAATGAATAGTCGGGTGATTATCTTTTAACTTTCAATAATCGAGGAACTTAATAAAGCAACACTCTACAGTCCGAGGATTATTTTGTAACTTTTAATATCTGAGGGACTTAATACAGCAGTATTCTGAGAGCATATTTTATTATATTCAACTTCAGTAGGTTAACATTCGACTCATAATACAACCAATTTCTCAACAGAAAAGAACGACTTTGGAACATAATCGAGTGAACATTTTTTAACTTTCAATAATTGAGGGACTCAATAAAGCAGCCTTCTATAGTCATAGAATTATTTTGTAACTTTTAATATCTGAGGGACTTAATAAAACAATATTCATAGTTAGGGGACCATTTCTATACTTTACCCTATTTTAAAATAAAATTGAAATATTTAAAAGTTAAAAAAAAGGACTGAGTGTTAGCTTGAGGACATATGATGTAATTAATCCATTAATTTATGCAGTGGAGGAAAGGGAAAAATGCAAAATTATGGTGGGTATAGGTTTATATTCTAGTGTGGATAATTATATGAATACATTTCAGCATGCCATTTCATAATGATCAGTTTTTCCAGTGAAATTTTCACAACGGTATCGATTGCATTCCAAACAATAATATTCCAAACTACAAAAGTTGACGAGCGAAGGCCGATGCCATTATCAATAAGTAAGCAATATGCCAAAGTAGCAAGAGAAGTTATCAATCCAGGCATGGAAAATTATTCACTATACCATAAACACCTCCCAATAAATAAAACATTCTTCAAATTACATACTTAAGTTGATTTACCGTCGAACCGCAGCTTCGAATTTAACCAAGCGCAGACCTCTGTCATCTCCTCCGGGATAGTATAGTGACCAAGCCAATATTGTTTATACAAGTACTCGATTCAAGTCGATAAATTGTTGAATACATAACAAAACCTGGAATTTTCAATTGTTAGAATCTCAAAATCCGTACCCGTCGTATGATTTGAAGATCGTGTTCTGAAATCCGTTCGAACTTAGTACTTGAGAAGATTTCTCACCAAATTTATATGGAACCACCTCGTCTCCTGCAACTCAAACACATTACATAAGATTAGAATAACAGAAGTATTTATGTAACTATGAAACACAGGGCTAGTTCCACCACTCTTACAAAATCGATCCCTATGAAGCAGTCATTATAGGTTTCATATCACTACTTTGGCTGGTTAAATCAACAAGTCTATAAAATTGGGATTGCTTCTGAAATTATGAAGTCGAAACTAAACGTTCGGTTGGTTATATTCCTTGAGTAATGTATTACTTCGTCTCTTTACCATCTTGTTATATCTCATTGCTACTTCATAATCAAGATAAATGGTGCTAATGTTTGCAGCACCTCTTGTGTAATAGAGAACACCATACATAATCCAATTATAGTTTGCATAAAGAAGGCAACTATAAATACCTTTTCCATGGCATAGCAAAATGGGCAAGGATGTAGCGCGTCTTGCAGCTTCCTCCTGTCCTATTTTTCTTTTCAATGTCCTAGAAAAGAACAGAATTTATAACAATAAACCAGACAAATCGGGGGAAGCAGAAGCATTAAGGTCGTATGAGAAGGTGCAGTGTAGGAAACCAACTTTGAACATGGAAGCCATCCACTAAGTCCAACAACTGCGCTCAAGTTGGCAGGATATGGATTTCCATTTCCATATTTTCCGTGAATAAAACAGGTCGCGGAGTATAAAGAGGTTGCTGCACCCATACTGAAACCTCCGATACCAAGTTTAACTGTAATTTGAGAAAGCTAGGATCAGAACAATGTCAAAAACAATTACATAACTAAAATTTAAACTGCTAGAACCGAAAACTAAGATTAATGCAGCATTGCATTGGCTGTAAGCCAAACTAATCGAGCAGTAACTTACTTAGATGTAAACAAATTCTAACAAAGTGGTCATTGTTTACAGCAGGGATTCTAATAGTGTTCGGATAGCTGTATCTATCTCGGAAAATAGCAGTGTGAGAGAGGAATCACACCAATAAAGGTAGATCGCGGCCACAATTTAGCGGATAGCGGCCAATTGCGGCAATAGCAGACTGCTATTCCGTTATTTTTCCGCTATTTAATTTTAAAAAAATCAGTTTTTTTAAATCAACTCATTTAGAAAAATTTCACAACCGCGATATCCGCAATCACAGCAATAGCATCCGTTATATCCGCAACCGCTATAAATGCAATGCGACTGGAAACGTGGTTGCAACTGCAATTTAAATCCCTGATTTACGGGCATTTATAAGAATGCCAATAAATATAAGGCCTTGTTAAAAAAAAAAAAAAAAAAAGCGGGCCATTGTTGTCTAGATAGAGAAACATAAACGTGAGGTAAAAACATCTTTCCTCGTGATTTTTCGTTATGAAAGAAACTACAAATGTCTACAATGCACTAATACCTAAATACTCGGAAGAGAAATGGAAAACATCCACCCCCAACACCCAAAACCCAAAATAAAAGAAAAAAGAGAAGAAAATAGTGTCATAAACCCTCATAAAAGAGATGAGAGGAAACATACTGTCAGCGGGCTCTGTTGATAACAAATTTGCAACATGAGCTGCAGCAGCATCCAAAGCCTTTACATCATAAGAGACTGCATATATTAATATCGGATGATACGAAACATTGAAACATGAAGATGAAGTGACTTGCAATTTGAATACTAAACCACTGAAAATCAACAGGTATTAAATGATTATCAGCTTTAACTCGTTGTGTGCAACCCTTGTATACAAATAGCAACTCGAGACAAATTCATCAAGGGGGTGTTTGGTAAACACCTTTTTGATAGAGCTTATTATGCAAAATAAGCCGAAAATAAGAACGTTAGAAAATTCAGCGGTTTGGGATAACTTATTACAAAATAAGATGTTAAATGACATATTTGACCTTATTATTTTCATAATTACATTCTTGTCATAAAACCTAATATAATGAAATAGCCTCTATCCTAATATATTTTAGTGAAATTTTATTTATTATTCTATTTTTTAATTATAGATTCTCAAATATATTTAGTTAAGAAAATATAGCAAAACATGAAAGTAGAAAAAAATATAGTGTTGATATTTTATAGAAGGTTAATAGTATGTATCAATCTCACAAGGTTAATATTTGTAAATTTAAATTTTAAAAATATATTCAAAATTTTTAAAAATATTCACTAATTTTCTTTAGGAATTTTTAATTTCTTGTCAAAAGCATTTTATCCTAATAATTTCATCATAATAAAGACTAAAGTATAATAAAACATATATGTATTTAACAACTAAATGTATCCCACCCTTATTTGTCATTTTACCAATATCGGCTATCAGCTAAATTTTACCAAACACTTCTATATAAACAGTTAATCAATTCAATTTTTCAAATCAATTGATCAAACCAGCTACTAGAATAAACTATTAACTATTAGTTGTTTGCCAAACATCCGAAAACAATATGGATGAAAGTGGTTCTTTTGCATGCAGTGATTAATTCCCGACAACTTGCTTAGCAGCATAGAAACAGCGCTATACTACAGGGATACAAAGTGCATAGAGAAAATGAGCTTTCTGTATAGTTTATATACCCAAAAAGCCCCCAATACTAAGTAAAAAAACTATAGCATCCATCTCATCAGTATGCAAGATTTTTTTTTTTTGAAGAATATGCAAGATTATTAAACTAACAGAGAGGGAACTTCTAAAAAATACTTAAAAGGAAGATAAATATAATATCTTGAAGGTGCTCACTTTCTTATTGTGAATAACAATTCATAGAAATAGTAGCATGGCCTCATGGGGCCAAATGATTTCTTGCTTCACCCAAACAGAACGAAAAAAAAAGACACGAAGATGTTAAAAACATATTATAGTCACTCATTTTCGTCGGGTTTTTTAATTTTTATAATATATATAGATATAGTATATAGATTTTTAAAAATTTTGAAAACATATATATAATATATAGTTTTTAAAAAACGTTTCAAAAACATATATATAATATATAGTTTTTAAAAAATTTTGAAAATATATATAATAAATAGTTTTTGAAAACATTTTAAAAACATATATATAATATATAGTTTTTGAAAATATTTTGAAAATATATATAACATATAGTTTTTGAAAATGTTTTGAATATATATATAATATATAGTTTTTGAAAACATTTTAAATATATATATAATATATAGTTTTTGAAAATGTTTTGAAAATATATATAATATATAGTTTTTGAAAACATTTTAAAAATATATATATAATATATAGATTTTGAAAATATTTTGAAAAAATATATATAATATATAGTTTTTGAAAACATTTTGAAAATATATATAATATATAATTTTTGAAAATATTTTTAAAACATTTTCATGTATTATATTTTATTATTTATTATATTATTTTTTTTTATTTTGGTCCAAATAGGTTCAAGTCCAATAGTCCACGAGGCCCAGTAGGGAACCCAACTGAGCGGGCAAGCCTGACCCAGCATACCGACCCGGCCAGGAGCTCATCACCAACCCGACCCGAGTTCGCCTGACCTAGCGAATTAGGGTTTTTAATTCAAACAAAAGCGTCGCACGATTCTGAATCGTTGGATATGCAACCAATCCAACGACCCAAAAAAGAGACCAGTCTTAGGTTTTTCAACAGCCATCAACCGCCGTGGACTTCGACCAATTTGAAGAAACCATCCTCTAGTGGGAAACAACTTTTGCCAGCAACATCAACAATTAACCCAACAATGTAATTTCATAGGATTCAAAAACAACCAAAAGCATGTATTTCTATCCTAATGAAACTCTAAATTGAACGAAAAAGGGACTCTTAATGCTATAAATCCCTACAAAAACGAAACAAAAAAAAACACACACAGAAGATCGAGGAAAAAGCACTTGTAAACTTTAAAAAGAAAAGAAATAAAAAAGGTACACCCTTTCTTTTTCGATTCATTTGCATGTGGTTGTATGGGTTTGTTTTGTTTCATTTTTTATCTAAAAAAAAGAAAAAGCAGAGAATCTAAAAAAGAGAACTTTTTTCGAAAGATTTTTATCAGATCTAGTTCTCTACGAGACTTTTTTGTGAAAACTAATCGGAGATTTGCAAAGAAGAAAATAAGAGCTTTCGAATGATGTAAAAAAATTTGGTTTCACTACCGATGAACGGCGGCCGGTGAGGCGGCACACGGTCGGAATCTGGGTTCACATAAACCCCGATGGAGTGTTTTTCATAAAATGAAAAACATGATGAACATGTTCAGAGAAAACAAAAAAGGGGGTTTTGATCCGTTTTGAGAGGTGGAAAATGAAAATAGTTTGTGATTTCTGGGCTTTATAGCCAACCCGAAACCCGACCGTTTTCACCCTAAGATCCGCATGTTTTTTATCTGGTATGGGTTAATTGTAGAACTGATCCCTGATTTCTTTTTAAAACTTATTTTGCGCCTTAAATTCGATTTTAATTTTGATTTTTCTTTTAAATTCACCCTCACTATATTTTATTTTTCAATTTAGTCCTTTCTTTATTTATTTCATGTTTTATTTAATTATATTTAAAAGACTACCACACTTAATGAGTCATTAATTTGATAATAATTGTTCTTTTATTTTTCTTTTTATTATCTCTTTTAATTTTATTTTAGTAATTTTTATCTTTGTTTAATTTTGAAATTGATAATTTTTTTATTTTTAATTTAATTGACTTTTTCTTTACATTATTTTTATTACTTTGTGTTTTCAATATGTGTGATTTGTTTTTTTTCCTATTTATTTTAATTTTCCATTCTGTTAATTTTATTGCTCGACATGTATATATTTCTTTTTTTGCTTTGTTTAAAGTATTATAATTTAACTTTTGTCTCTTTTTTCTTTTGATTAATTCAATATTTCATTTTTTAACATTTTTTAACATTTTTTTGCCCTTTTAGGAGTACTCTTAAATCAATTAAAGGCAAGTAACTTGGATCGAATTTTTACCTTTTAATTTAACTTACAATTTTCTTAATTAAGACAACTGGAAATTAAATTAGTACCGAAATGGCAGTACAAGGGTGTTAATCCTTCCTTGAATGTAATCGATTACCGAATCTGACATATTTCTGGTAAAACGCAGATCAAGTAAGATGATGTCCGATCAACCTAAATATTATTTTTTAACTGATCGGTGGCAGCTCTAACCTATTTATTCATGTCGAAGCCCAATTTTGGGCCCAACTCGAAAGACGGCCGTGACAGCTTGGCGACTCCTCTGGGACTTGGTAAGTGAGTCAGGCTAAGACTAATTTCCGGTTGTCTTCTTAAGTGAAAATTGTAATTTTAAATTTTAATGTAATTTTTCGATCATTATTACTTACCTTTGATTATTTTTCAAATAAATAGTTGTGCTGACTTTTTTTAATGATTTCAGATTATTTCCATCTTAGGCTCTATACCCAAGCTCCAAACCTTTTCTTAAATGGAGGTGAAAGCGATGCATTCGTGAGAATTTATTCTCTGTATAAGCCTAGCAAGTAACCTTCGGGATTCATATACCTTATGTCTTCGTGTGAATTTATTCTCCGTATAGACATAAGGGAATCTATCATCTCGAGTTTAACTTGGTTCACATAAGCTTGTAATGGGCTTAGGACTAAGGGTATGGCAAGCCCAAGGGGCACCGCAAGGAGAACTCGGGTACCTTTTTTAGAACCTAAACCAGGAGACTACAGGGAATTAGAGCCTACCCCGAAACTCCATTTCAAAACCTAGGACGTTTTACTTCCTTATCATTTTTTTTACTTTTATTTATATTACTAACTGATTTTTCTTTCATGTTTTCTTTTTATCATTTTCATCATAAAAAGATGTAATTGATCCACAAAAAGTGCTTGTTACACACAAATAATCATCATTAATGGAAAAGAGGTTGTAATGCAAGAGGTGAAAAACATCGAGGTACGACTATGGTCCGAAAAGACTCAGAAAGAAAAGGGAGACAGTCTGTAAGGGAACTATATGTCAGATATGGTTAACTATGCTTATGTCAGCCTAAAGAAGAATGATGTTCAAGAACTACGGAGTATTTGGGACAACTAGAAAAATGACTAGAAAAGGAGGTTCTGCACTTCTACTCTATGTCAAGACAGGTGAGCTCTTAATTCGAGCCTCAGTACAAGTACAACTGCTTCACATTTAACCAAGAAGACATGGTACCCACAATCAAAAAATATATTGTTTTGCTGCATTGCGAAGGAATCAGAATTGATCAGGATTATATAAGCACATTAAGAGTCAGCCTTTCAAGAACGGGCTGAAAAAAGTGGCAGCGGTAGATGAAAAATGGGTAACTGACCAGATTCAACATAAAGGTAGTGGGGAAGGGATTGCTTGGACCTATATCAAGCAACTAATGAAAAATAATCCCGATGAATGGAAGGTAATTGACTTTTTTGCACTGGGCATTTATGGTTTAGTTATCTTCCCAAAGACTTTGGGATACATTGAGGCGACTGTGGTGAAACTGTTCGAACAGCTCCTGAAACGAGTAAATCCAGCACCGACAATTTTAGCTGAAACTTTTCGCTCCTTCAACCATTGCAGAAAGACTGATTGAGGAAGATTTATAGGGTGTGCACAGCTTCTCCAAGTTTGGATCCATAGTCACTTTTGGAAGACTAACGGGATTTCTTACCACCGATTCAACACCTCTTATTCTCATTTGGGGGAATTCCTCACCCTGAAATGGAAAAAAGGTGTCCCAAAAGAGAAATGAATGAAGGTATTTACACACCTTCAAGATAGGAATATTGTCTGGAGAGCTCCCTGGTTAACCTACAGTGACATTATTTTCCGATGTGGAGATTTCAGAAACTATGACATTACTCGGATTATGGGGAGGAGTCAGATACTCTCCACTTTTGACACTTCGACAGTATGGGGCACGCTAGTTTATCCTAACAACACATGGAATATCTGGATCCAAATTTGCATATCATGGGGACAACTATAAGAAAAATGTCAAAGAAGTAACTGAGTTATGAAAGAAAATGTTATGTATAGATGTCGTGGCCGCTAAGGACATGCTTACTCCAGGCTATTTAGAATGGCAGAGATTAAAGAAAAATGACACCATCCCAGTGCTAGACCATGAAGATACTCGAACCATGGAAGAACATCTTAAGCATGTTCCCTCCGAGCTAGAGATAGTAAGGAAAGAATTTGAAGCTGAAAGCATGAGTTGAAACAAAGTCTAAGGGAACTCAAGGCTGAAAGATTCCAGTGGAAGTTGGATGCTGATACCCAGAAGGATCGGGTAGACAAGTTAGAGAATGAACAGAAGAAATTTTGTTTTGAGCTTGAGGATTTGAGAAAAGGATATCAAGAACAAGTCCAGAACAATTCCAATCTAAAGAGGTCTTCTGAGTACTGAAAAAATTATGCAAGCAGCCTGAAAATGAAGTTTGAAGGACAGGAGGAAAGAGAAACCTTGAAAGAATAGCTAAAAACCACTCAGAGAAGTTTGTTAGACAATCAGCACCAGAATAAGCGTTTGAGGGCCCAAGTAACTGATTTAGAGAAGTCTCTTCAGAAACAGAAAAAGGGTGATGGCAAAACCATAACTGAGTTGGAGGTCATTGTGGATGGGTTCAATAAACAAACAAATGAGCTTCAGATAATTTTTCTTTGATGGGAGATTTCAGTGGCGCTTTCGTTGGGAACAGGCCCAGCAAAGGATGAAAGCTAGAGATACAGTTATCCGAGATTTCTTGGAACAAGTACAAAAAGTAGCTCGTCACTTGCACAGTTTAGCAAGGGAAGTTGGAGTGGTCCGACAAGGTATTCAACCAGTGACAGATGAATGAAGAAGACTTGTTAACTTGTTAGAAGCTTTTCAAAATTTAGAGGATTTAGTCAGAATATACCTTTAAGATATTTTTGTCTCTTCAAAAAATAAAACATTTTTGTCTCAATAAAGATTATTTATAATAACAGACACATTTCCTGGATCAATGCCTCTAATTCTCATGCATCATACATTATTTTCATACCTTGCATTTCATATTTTATTTTTCATGTTTTTACATTCACATTAACTAACAGAAAAATGTATAGAGAAGAGACATCGGGTATACATCCAGAAGCCTGGAAACACATCATACTTACAACACTCGCACAAAGAAAAGACAAATGGAAGCCAAAATTGCTCAATTCGAAGAGAACATGTTGAAGTTGCAAAGGGAGTTAGAAGAAAAGATAAGTCAGAATAATCAAAGTACTCTGGAAACGATTACTAAAATCCAATAATCTTTGGTTGATCAAATTGTTGTCAGGTTATCTGGCTTGAATCAGGCAAGCAGGCTCGGGGTAAGGTCATCTAAAGGGGTAGCTATGCCACCTACCCCACAGGTGGTTATCTCACCTGGAATTTTACCAGGGCAACAAGGGGACTCATCCGCTACAAAAGAGGAAGTCTCATCTGCTGTAAAGGTACAAACTTCTATATCCAACCCCAGGAATAATCTGGATGATTATCTTATACTAGATTTTGATGAAGAATACAAGGCAAAGAAAATGGAAGAAAAGATCAAATTGTTGGAGGACCAAATGAAAGTGGTTAAGGGGGACCATGATTATTATGTTGTCGATGCTCTAGAGCTGAGTTTAGTCCCAGATTTGGTGC